ACTTACCTTCTTTGTATTGGATACCTAAGCTTTACAAATATCCGTACAAACAACGGTACATTGCCAGCTCATCTGCATGTCCTACAAGAAATTGTCCATTAGTTTGTAAAAAAGTATGTCCGCAGTGAAAGAGGGTCATCAGAAATACTGTGAAACTGTTTACTCGCGTAGCGGTATTAACCATATGTGGATTCTAAAAAAAACTCTAAAAAACTTCTTGATAATTTTAAAGCTTGATCTTTCTCTGAAATTAATTTTATCAAAACTTTTGATTTTTCAACCCTGTATACCACCATTCCCCATGTGAAAAATTGTCTAAAAGAAATAATCCATAATGCTCTTCAATGTACAAATGGTAGCTTACTCTATACATTTATTGCTTTGGGATACCATACAGCATATTTTGTTAATAGTAAACATAAAGGTAAAACATGCTACACAGAGGAACAAGTGATCAGTATGCTGGAGTTTCTCATTGACAACATATTTGTTGAAATTGGAGGTAGACTGTACAGTAAGTTGTCTGCATTCCTATGGGAACGAACTGTGCGCCCCTCTCGACCGACCTCTTCTTATTTACAGACACTTGTAAAAAACAAAGAAAATGTCTGCCCAATCATTTAATTTCACATTCAGATATATTGATGATGTTCTTTCCATTAACAATCAAAACCTTTCCGATTGGGTTCCATTAATATAACCTCAAGTACTAGAAATTAGAGAAACAGCAGACACGGCTTCCTTCGCCCTTTTTTTGACGTATATCTCGAATTGGACATAAGCGGTTATTTCAAAACCAGAATCTATGAAAAGCAAGACGATTTTAATTTTGAAATTATAAATTTCCCCACCTTGAAAATGTTGACTGCTGTACCCCATTTTTTGACTATTTTACCTATTATGTCTGTTTGTTTTGCTCACACAATGTTGTCAATATAATGGAATTCAAAACAACTGTCATACAAGTGAGAGGTTTAGCTAGCTATTAAACCAGGTTTAATCTACATAAGGAAATGCCTGTACCAAGTCAGAAATATGACAGTTGTTTCGATTCGTTAAATGTGTTTGAGCTTTTGATTTTGTCATTTTATAATGGACTTTCCGTCTTGAATTTCCTTGGAGTTCGGTTTTTTTGTTATTTTACTTTTTTCCTGAATGATATCAAACGAAAGTTTTGTAAAAAAGTATTAATTTCAGTCCCTATTAGTCATGAAAAGCTTTCATCAGTTCTTTCAATCAATGTAATCATTAAATAGCAAGACATATGATATATTGCACTGTGTGTTCTAGAATGTAGTGTGTTAGAACCATATAATTATATTAGTCCGTAAAAAGGTGTAAACGGTTTCGCATGATCCACTTTACCTACTGGGACGCGTTCATGCTTAACATAATTTGAGATTCCTGTTCCAGTAGGACCATCTTTAAAAGTCAAAGTTCAGACGTAAACATATGCTTTAAAAAGTTACGCCGCTAAAACGATTGTGAAGTACAAAATTCAAATCAATTAATTTATCAACCATTCTTTAGTTGGCATGCTGCGCTATCTTACCACATATTACTAATTAACGCCTTTATAAATAAGACCATTCACTGCTATCAAATGCAATCAGCTGATTTGCTGTCAGAATCGATACGAGTGACGAGTACAAGGTGAAGTCCGAGTGCTGTCTAATTCAATAAAAATTAACAAGATGAACGAAATCGAAATGTTAATTTGTATGTAATCATAATCACATAAACGGTACCGAATTAACTGCACCAGATAGGCATATTGACAATCAATGTTACTACAGTTATGCTTGAAACCAACATATTACAAAATAGGAACCTTTTAACAAAAATCATGGCTCATCGACCTAAAAGTACCAAAAAGTATAACCAAAGCCGGGCAAGGAATCAGAGCTACACATGAGAAATATGAATTCCATAATGTAAGCTAATTTCCAACATTTTGTAAAAGCAACTTTTAATGACACTATATCCATATGTTCATGTCAGTACGGAAATACTGGCTACTAGACTGGTTATACCAAGGGGACTAATAATCCACAAGCAGATGCATCCACCCAGTCGTTGTTCTTATATTACCGGTACCAATATTGCTACACATAAATCAGATCGTCGATTTAGACCATTGCATTATTCATGTTATTTTACATTAAGTCTTGTCGGATCCTCTCATATATGTTATTATACAGTATTGGTTTTACTCGGACAATGCTGCATTGTTGATTACATTAGTGTATTCTGCAGCTTTTGAAAAGGGCATTGTAATTGTTTTATCAGAGGGCACTCTAAGCGCGATAGGTCACCCTTTGCGAGGAGGACTTCACTTTTAGAGAACCCTTAACACAGACATAAAAACACTGTTATGGATAGAAAATCAATCGAAATATACCATTGTTTCATATTTTCTGGTAAGAAATAAATTTTCATACGTTTTGGACTATTGTGGATAGTTGTTTCAATTGTTATCATACCTTATATCCTTACTGTTATATATAAGATCAATGAATTATCGTTTGCAATGCAGTTATAAGGATTGGGAAATGTAAGGTTACAATACTTTTCTTTAAATAATTATTGTATTTTAATGGTCATCAAATTATTTCTTAATCATTTTATTGTATGGTATGCAATAATTCGTGCTTGATGGTATAACTGGTTTTGTTTATCACTAAAATGTTATTATCAATAAGTGGATGCACAGATTTTCCAAATAGTGACGAACTTGGCAATTATTTAAAACCATATGCTGATTTCCGAAGAATTGTGTCTTATTATCAACCGTTTGGATTCAAAATTTATAGCTTTGCATAATATATCTTTGCAGACAGAATGTTGTTCTTCTAAATGTCAGTTGGTTGTTTGTGTTGTTGTTTTGCTGTCTCATCAACGTGTATTGTACTTCTTTGAGGAATAATACTTATATTGCTAATATTTAGATTTTTATCTGTAATTAACCTTAGTGTGGATCATCGGTATATATTTCTTCAGATATAAATTCTGTAAGATGATTCGTTGAGCGTCTATATATATCAATGAGGAGAAAACAGCCCTAGACCAGGAATATGTCGTCAGTGCAGTGATAAAATCCCTCTACCGGAGGATTCAGCTTGCCTCTAAAAAGAAAAGTAGAAAAACGGGAGAGGTTGTGGTTGATTTTCATAGTATGAAGACATAATCTTTCACGAGCTTAGTTCTGGTCTGGAGCTGGCATGTCAGTAATTTCTAGTAGTACTTTCTTAATCTTTGTTGCTAATTGTCATTTTGATCAGTTTCTTCTATTACCTATTCTATCGTCGGACTCGGACTTCTTGAGAATTGAGATTTATAGTGTGTATTGCTGTGTGCTGAAGCCCGCCCTTGGGGGCCGTTTTTTTCTCGCTGCGTGAAAGACCCATTGGTTGCTTAAGGCTGTTTTTTGCACTTTGGTCGGGTGGTTGTCACTTTGACAAATTCCCTGTGTCCAATCTCTAGTTTATAATGTAGGTTCGGCATTTATTCAACACCATAAAAGTTTTAACAATTCTGGAAAGAAGGAGTTATGTCGTATTTTGAACAAAAAACATAAATATATTGATACTAAGCTGTATAGCAAATAAAGGTAATAGTAGTATACCAAATTCAAATCTCATAAATATAATAACATTAAGTCGGCATTGATTTAACTTATTGATATGGATTCACCCGGTTAAGAAAATAAATAGTTTTAATAATTTTGAATGGCGTCTACATAATATATATTTATACTTTTTAATGTTCAAAAGAAATATTAAAATGTTTATCATAATTCGGTTAGCAAGCCTGAATTTCCTATCTTAGCTGATTGGATGGCAAACAAAAGCATATTTTTCAAACCTATGAACAACGGTATACTACTGTTGCCTTTACATGTGTGTCCGACATGATTTTATCTTAAATTTTCTTTAGAAATAGTAAATATGCTGTTTTAATATAAAATTGTCCGTTTATAAAGTTAGACTTTCTCGGGAAAAGTTGACTTTATAGTCATTTGGCTATTATGTTTAGGTCTTATTTTGTTCATTTAGCTGTCCAACTGTTTAGGTTCTTTTACATCATTTGATTTCAAACATTTGGCATTGAACCTTCCTGATGAAGGTTAATCCAGAAAAGCGTCTCGGAGGCATGCAATTTTAAAAGTATCATTTATTTCATATACCAGTTTTCTTATTTCTTAAAATTGATTGGCCGGTGATAAAATGAACACTTTGGTTATGTTGACTAGTGGGTGGTATTTTGTGTAATACTTATAATTGAAACGTATAATATTATTTTTTGTGTAATATACAAATAGGAAGATGTTGTATAATTGCCAATGAGACAACTATCCACCAGAGAACAAATGACGTAGAAGCTAACAACTACAGTTCACCATACGACCTTCAAAAATTAGCAAAATCCATACTGCATAGTAAAAAGTAAAATTACATAAATACCGAATTTCAAGGAAAACTCAAAACGGAATGTTCCTTAACAAATGGCAAAATCAAAAGCTCAAACACATCAAACGAATGGAAAATATCTTTCTGGAATGGTACAGGCATTTCCTTATGTATATAATGGTGGATTTAATAGTAAGCTCTTAAGGGCCTTGACATGACATATGTAAAACATTTCAAACAAGAACACTAACGACAAGATTAATGTACAAAACAATTAAAGAAAAAAACTATAATGTACAGCATTTACAACCATTGAATTACAATCTCCTGACTTGGGACAGGTACATACAGAATGTGGCGGGGTAATATCAAAGCTAATACTTCATTGTCTTGTTTTTAGATTGATTGACCGGCAAATTAAATAATGACTGTTTTTATCTATGAACATGGTGACTGGTATGATATATATAATTTTACATCGAATGTTGTAAAAAATCAACAATAGTAATACTTTTTCGAACGATATATCAATACGGAATTGTCATAATTTTATAAAATCGTTAAACCGTTAAATAAATGAACAACCTCTCGCAAGTTTTATTATTTTACCTTTAATGTTGTGAAGCTTTTGTAATTTAATTCAATACTATATGTATGTGCTTACAAGAAGGAAAGAATCACTAAAATAAAAAGCTCTTTCATAGAAACGTCTTCAAATGTCATCGTTCTTATGCGAATTGAAGCGTTGTGTTTATCATTTTCTGTAAGTGTTACAAGTTATTACACACAATAGTTGCAACCAGTAAAATTAGTACAGTTTTAAACATGCTGTTAAAATCGTCGTGGATAAGGTGATCCTGATCTGTATCTACGATTACCAACTGGAGAAACATTATTTGACTCCCTAAGTTCTGTAGCTACGCATTGAGTTTCGACATCTTTTATTTTCATTCTTTCCTTTGTTGAAAAAAATTTGTTTTCTTTCCCGAAAAAAGATTGATAAACACTTATAATCTCCGCATCATTCAAAAGACCAACACTCGTAATTTCATTTGTGAAATATTGTTTATCAACTAGCGGAAATCGAATTAAATACAATAAACTTCCTAAAAGCTCTCTTGTATTTTCTCCTGATGGATCTGTATGTGCTGATTGACATTTTTGACTTGCCCATTTCATTGCAAATTTGCAAATTTGGGTTTCAGTCCAGTTGAAATCTTCAGATTCTAAAATCAATTTCATGCATTCACTTTCTATGTCAATGCTTATTTCATTTTCTAAGCATTTACTTGGATGCTGATGAATATATTTCAGGCTTGCACGTTGCAGATCCAATAAATGAAATTCTATAGATGTTTGAAGAGCAACAATTGCATCACTGGTTGTCACTGATTTTTTGAGGAATTTTTCGCAAGCATCTTTACCACTATAAAACATATACTTTTCCGATATATAAAGCATCTCTCTCACATTTTCTGATGATACTTCTATCTTATCGGTATAAATCCATCTGAAACATGAATACAGGACTAAACATTTATCAATCCTGCATAAGACGCCACTAGTAAAACAATTTTGTCTTAAACGGTCATTTTGATCTAAATTGTTGTTCTTAAAAAAAAAAAAAAACAATTAATGATTAAGTCATGTTCAGTCTGTATGTCAATTTTCAGAATTATCCATATCATTAAAGTCAGTACTGTTCAGATAGTTCGTTTGCAGTCAATGTAGATCTGTTTAGTATATGTTTAGACTATTCAGTAGTTGCTATTTACCTGTACACATTTACAACATACTGAAAAGCTACAGAGCTGTAATGAATTGTCCCAACAGTGCTTAATTTACCGCAGTTGTTAAGTCTGTAAATTAAGGGTAAGACTTGAAGTGACATAACAGTGAATTGTTCAGATTTTTCGGATGCAGTTAAGACCAAAAAGACCATTTACAACTAAAATTTCTTTATTTGTGCTTTATTGAGAGCATACATTTTCTTATCATGAAAAAGCAACAGGGAATGAAGGGGAACATGCAATATGATTAATCGTTTAGCACAATTTAATTCCTATACAATGCATACAAATACTTGATATATATTTTTTTTTTTAAATGAATTTCTGTTTATTTGCAAATGAACATAATAATAAGTTATACACATTTTATGCACAATATGATATATAGACAGAACATATACAATATATTTTAAAATAATAGACAAAGCTTAAATAGTTTAATACATTGCATAATATGATTGAAAGACAGAAGCTGCTTGGACAAAGAATACACATTTTTAATTTATACAACATATGGTGTCTGTTACTTATCTTTGTTTTTATGACAATAAAGGAGTCAAGGGGTTCCAGCAGTTCTCTGCCCTACTCAGACTTTTATTTTTATAAAATATGTGTTTTTCTATTAATAAGTTTTCTTTTAAATATTTTTTTAATGCTATCATATTGGTTTGTTCCAATGATAATTTGCTTATATAGATATAGAATTTTGTTAACAGAATTAATAAGTTTCTTATATCATTTTTATCGGTTTTCGTTAGAATATCAAATAAAAACAAATCTATATTTAAAGTTAGTTCTATTTCTATCTTCTCAAATATCGAGGAGTATTTAAGGTCCTCCCATAATTTTGATATATACGGACAAGTCTAGAATATATATTCTATTGTTTCGACTTCTCCACACCCAAAACTACACTTATTTGTATCTTTCACTTTTATTTTAAAGAGAAGTTCATTCGTGCCTAAAATGCGATGTATTATTCTGTATTGAGACCACTGCAATTTAAAATTCTTGGTAATATAAAAGGGCAATATATAGATATTTTTCCAATTGTAGTTTGTATTGAGAATTAAAGACCATTTTTTTCACACTTTTGTTTGAGGTTTGAATTTTTACTATTTAAAATATTATACATATCGTTTGAACCTCTCGAAGATTTAAAAAAAAAATTAATAACTGGGGACAAAACGAGGCCATTTTCTCTCACTAAGTCATTGGGACATATATTATATTATTTTAAATACTTTTTTATTGCAGAAATTAAGCCTTGATATGTAAGGAAATTATTTTTTATATTGTATACATTTTTAAAGTTATCAAATGTCATGAAATTTCCACATTCATCTAACAAGCCATTAATCAGCCAAATCCCTTTTTTAGTCCATTTTTTTATATAAAACTGATTGATTACCAATCTTTATTTCATCATTCTTCCATATATTGCATGTGTTAATTTGAAATTTATCTTGAATATTTTGAAGATCATTCCAAGCATCAAATACTTCTTCCCAAAATGGATTTTTTAGCTTTTAATATGGGCCCAGAAACTGCATTTCCAAAAAATTTAAATTGTCTGAAAAGAGGAATAGTTTCACAAGTTTTGAATTATTTTTATTAATTCTTCTTATCCAGGTTACTTTTAAATTTTTATGTAGTTTTCAATATTTATCATTTTTAGACCTCCTGAACAGTGTGATTTGGATAAAGTTTCTCTTTTAACTTTATCTGGTTTGTTATCCCAGATAAAGGAGAATATTTTGTCAGTAAAATATTTAAGCTTTGTACTATTGTTCATTTATCAATCCTGCATAAGACGCCACTAGTAAAACAATTTTGTCTTAAACGGTCATTTTGATCTAAATTGTTGTTCTTAAAAAAAAAAACAATAACTGATTATGTCATGTTCAGTCTTTATGTCAATTTTAAGAATTATCCATAGCAATAAAGTCAGTACTGTTCAGATAGTTCGCTCGCAGTCAATGTAGATATGTTTAGTATATGTTTAGACTATTCAGTAGTTGCTATTTACCTGTATACATTTACAACATAATATTAAGCTACTGAGCTGAAATGAATTGTCCCAAAAGTGCTAAATTTACCGTTGTCGTTAAGTCTGTAAATTAAGGGTAAGACTTGAAGTGACATAACAGTGAATTGTTCAGATTTTTCGGATGTTGTTAAGAACAAAAAGACCATTTACAACTAAAATTTCTTTATTTGTGCTTTATTGAGAGCATACATTTTCTTATCATGAAAAAGCAACAGGGAATGAAGGGGAACATGCAATTTGATTAATCGTTTAACACAATTTAATTCCTATGCAATGCATACAAATATTTGATATATGGTCCATTATTGAAACCGGATACCGAGAAAAGTATCGACAAAGAAAACGTTGTAGCCATAATAATAAGTAAACTGTCAATTAAAAAATCATATGAATTTTTTTTTTAGGTGCTTTATGATGTATTTATGTCAGCATATTCTCTAATACTTATTTAAAAAAAAGAACTGACTTGCCCAACACATTGCAGTCTTTATGAAACTATGTTTTATTATTCATTCACTTACCGCAAAAATAAGTTAAAAGTATCATCATCCACATCAGAAATCACTATATTATCGGTTTCTGGAACAGAACCTTCAAACATTGTATAGAAAACAGGACTTCGAGTGGCAAGTATAAATTTATGTGCTACTATAACTTTCTGCTCAGGACCAACTTTGAAAGAGACATCACACATTAATCCGTTTTCCAGCATATAGAGTGCACAACCAGACAAAATTTTCCCAGACCGCCATTCTTTGTCAGTGTAAGTCTGCAATTAACATTACTTGTAAAAAACTAAAAAAACGCAAAGCTTTAAACAAATATTTTGATTGCAAATATCTATCATTCCATTGCTGAAAGGATTTTTTTCAACGACAAACTTATTGCCTTGGTTGGCCGTAATAGTATATCATCGTAGCATCTGATCGCATATATGTTATAATTGTCAGAACACCTTTAGTTTATGAGAGGCATGGGGGTCGTTTTTCAATTCATTGGTTAATAATTTGGTGTTCATATATTGTTCTTTGTCTTCCCTTCATTTTAAGTATGTATTGTTGCAATGATTACATGTACTTGCAAATTTGAATGGAATAATCTTAGGATGATCACCTTCAGACATACGTTTTGCTTGATGGCATATAAAAGTCAATTTACATCATTTTTGGGAAATTTTCAAAATCATATTAAAATCTTTGCTGAACGTCTCAAGCCCTTCCAAACTGAATTTTACAAGAATTATTAGTTTTTATGTTTTGGTATTACATGTCTGTCACAGCTAAGGGGCGGGTTGAGCGTACGTAAAAATGTTTAACACCGCTGAGTATTGCTGTCTGTAAAATTTATGTACGTGTAATATCTTATCAAAATTCAGGCCATCGGATTTTCCGTATGAAATATGTTTACATCTGGTAATGTCGTAGCCTTTTGTGTTTTATTTTTCTTAATTGATTTTGCCATTAGTTTAAGGACTTCCGGTGACCATAACTTGTTTTGTCCATACCTTGTGGACTTTGGTGGATTGTTGATTTGTTGGATATCATACATATGTCCTTATTTTTACACTCTTGAACACAGTAAAGTTTGAAATGTTTACATTATCATGATGCGATGTACAACATCAAAAACACAGAAAAACAAATTAGCTTGCTAAACCTAGATTTGAATTTATATTTAAACTTAAAAGTAGAAAAATAAATAAATAGATAAACTCATGAGTAAATTTACTCTAATTTCAAATTTATTGAACGGCAAACCCCAAAGCTGGAAAACATCTTTGAAATTCGTTCGTGTTAATTAATCATGTTAATAAAATGGGCGTAGATTTAGAATATCACAAAATTCCAACTGACGTAACTACTTAAAAGACGTCTTCATTTTCAGTATGATCTAAACACGACAACAACTGGTACAATGATGATTACATTTGAAACTCAAGCGATATTCGTCGTGTTGTGTCACCATTTAAAGATACATTTTCGATTCGTTATATGGCTAAATAATAAACTGATTGTAGTGTGAATCTGCGTGTCACACTATTATAAAAAGGTCCAGCTGAGAGGTAATATTTCTGGAAATTTGAATGTGTGCATCAATACAAATTGTATAACTGGTACAAATGAACTTTTGTAGATAGTTGTTACATTGGCAATCATACCACATCTCCTTCATTTTATATCTAGGGGACAATCTAGCAGCGGTTTTGTATGGTTAAATAAAATTTAAAAGATGTACAACTAGTCCGTTTGGTCCTTTAATGTGCAACTAGAGACCATTGTTGAAATTGACTACTAGAAAATAAAGCGTATAACGAATTCTTTTATAAATAAGTTTAAATATTATATTGCTATCACTATGTAGAAGTTAAACTGCTGCTGCGACTATGTTACTGCTGTTAGCCTGCAATTTCAGAGGGTTATATGAGCTTGAGAGACAATGTTTTTGTATGGTTGAACTTGACTCTAGAAAATATATCGTATAACGAATTCTTTTATAAATAAGTTTAAATATTATATTGCTATCACTGTGTAGAAGTTAAACTGCTACTGCGACTATGTTACTGCTGTTAGCCTGCAATTTCAGAGGGTTATATGAGTTTTAGAGACAATGTTTTTGTATGGTTACTGTATTATCAAACGCTGGAACGTCATGTTACTGAATGATACATGAGTGGTGTTTCCAGTTTTGTGGGCATGACATATAAATATTTATTTTTTTAACATTTTTTTTTTAGTTTTGGGAATCTTTTCAATTCTAACACGTCAAACACTTTCGTCTTCCAGTATGGCATTTCGATCACATATGCAGCTGTAATAAATGCAAATACAATAGGTTAATCAATGTTTAGTTAAGCGTAATCTATGTACCATTTCAGATATAAAGTCTAATTACAATAGCCAAATAGCTCAGCAACGCTGTGGAAATCAATATTAAGTATTCAGACCAAAATAACAGCTACATAAACAGGCACACAAGACTTCATTATTATTGAGAACACAGATCAACCTATCATGTCTATGTACATACCTCTTCACAACTACTATGTCTTTGTTCCATTACCCGTTTGAACGTTAACATTTGCCTTCTTTTAGGCGGCATGATGAATCTGTTGAAGAAAAACATTTTTCTTGTCTAATGGCTCATTATGATAATATTGTATTTTGTATCTTTTGCTTTTCGAACATATGAAGAGATCACAGGGATACTCCCAAAGTTGCCTTTCTATAAAACATTCAGTTTGTGGTTCGTGTTGTCCATTATGTAGCGTAGTGTAGACTATTGCTTGTTTTTGTGGTTTTTAGTGGTTTGTGTTGGCATTATTTAAGGGTTTCTTTTTTATTTATGGACTTTGACTTTCCATTTCGTATCTTCCATTTCTGTTTTGTTAAAAAGAAATACGAGAGCATGTGTTATTTAAATTTTAAATTAAGGAATATTTCTCCCTCATGCAAAGGGCTGATTCGTAGTCCGTCTTTGGCTGTAATGTTTGTATCCATTGATATATTAGCTCTTCGTATCTTGAATAAGTTTCAATTTCAAATATTTTGGCCTGAAACATCCCTGAAGAGACAATAAAAAGAGAGGCGAAAGATGCCAATTGGACATTCATTTTCGAAATGCGCATCTAGTGTGCAGTGAAATTGGTACTGTTGTTATTATGAAATTTTGGCCAATGATGTAACTAATATATATTTATTTTAGGAACACTTGTAGTACTATCATGACTAACATAATATCACATATTAAGTCTATCAATACTAAAGCAAATTTATTTATTATACTTCAAATCAAAATGATAGATTTTGATTGGTTATTACGAGGGAGACAATTTTCTCTATCCCATGGCAAATACCCTATTACCCTTCACGGAGATGTTTTCTCAATTGTGTGCTTTAATAAAAAAAAGATGATTGTTATGTACAAGACGACATAGTTTATTATTTTAAATTTAAATTGAATAGACAGTAATAACAAAACATTCATTATAATAAATTAAATAACCCATATATAATAAAGTGATAAAGCAGATTGTTACCCCCCGAAAAGACATTAGTCAACCTTGGATACGCCTTAGTTGACAATGTTTTTCCCGGGTAAACAATCTGCTCTATCACCCTCTCAGCTATGTGTTATTCATAAAAAAAAAATTTCTGTGATTGTCCGAAATTTCATCGTAAGCGCCATTAACATGATTAATGTATGCATTTATCTTAACAAGTTTGTTAGAAGATGTGATTTATTCAAATAAAAAACAAATTGTACGCCTTGACTCATGTGTCTCATTGATAATCATACCACATCTTCTTTTTTATATAATCAGTAGACATTTTGCGGAAACTAGGTCTATACATAGGATTCCACTTAGACTTACGATTAAAGTTGGCGGGAAAACAAAGGGTGATCTCAAAATGTAAAAAAGTACATTAGAGATTTTTATGATGTTAATTATTCTTTTCGACGACACACTAATGCAATGCATATGTTCACACCAGATTTGAATAGCTTTCCCATTATTCGCCACAAGGTCTCCATACCTTAATTTTCCGATGGCACATTCAACCATTTAATCTCTTCCCTGTAGTGTGTAATAAGTATTTTTTAGTTTTCTAAACTTTCTCTGCATATTCTGGGATTTATGTTCGGATATATGTTGTCGCTCATAAAAAACAGCAAAGAATCAGAAGCGTTCTCCGATAAACAGAGTACTGCTTTTTAAGTTATGGCTCTAAAAATGTGTCTAACACCTTATTTAGGTAAAGCAAAATTCGGAAATAAAAATCGTTCAAAGAATACTCTACAAACGGTACACTAGGAAATCACAGGAAAATGCGATAAGCAAGTTACACAATGTTAATAATTAACCAGCCGCAGTGAAATTTTTTTTCAACTTTTAATGTCGGGTGTCGGCCCTCTTTAACCCGATCATTCTTTTTGTATTCGAAACTGCTCCTTAACCTATTTATTAAGGATGATCAAATAAGGAGCATGTTGACAATATTCATTGTTTACTCTGAGACATACATTTTCCGTTTTCTTAAAAAAGAGAATAGAGGGATACAGCGGGCGAATTTTTAAGAACTATAAATTTTTTCATGGCATTCCACTTGCCGTTAGGTATATTTTTATCATCTGTTTTTCTGCTTGTTGCCTTCGTTTTTGGTATCAATAGAAAAAATCTAAAATATACAGAAAAAAAACATTCCACCGTTATCAATGGACATCCTTATGCCCGATACTATTCGTTAGACTTTTTCAAAACTTCAGAATAAATAGTTGGAATTTTACCACATATGTTTTTTCAAATAAAAAAGAAGAGACAACGGGTGTTAAGTTGTGTTTGTGCAATTTTCATAGAAATCTTGAGAATCAGTTTAGAATCGACGTTTTCTTCCACGGTGTCGATAGTTTTATCCTTTGAACATGGGTGGGTCTGGTATGCTCGAAGCATGAAACCTGTACACTTTTCTTGCAATTGTACTATAGAGTGCATTTACATGTATGACGGTGTCCATTTCAACGCAAAGTTTATGCGCAAAATTTTTCCATTGATTAAACGGAATAAAAGGTGCAAATGTATATCAGACGAGAAGAAATTGTTAAAATGAACTGTTGACACAGAGATATATCTCACCTGTCGGAAGAACAATCGAAAACAAGATAATCTGATGGACAGCAATATTGCTATTCAATTCAAAGTCGCTGGAACATAACCAAGGGGACAGGGACTCAACATAGTTATCAAACTGATATGTTCTGATAGTAATGCAAAAGAGGGACGAAAGATACCAGAGGGACAGTCAAACTCAACTTTATACAAAATATCATTGGTCTATCACAAATAGTTCCTATCGAACTGACTTAAGCAGAAATCTTAACAATTGTTGGCGCATCCGTTGCCGCCGGAAAAGCAACACTATGTCTCACTTCTGCGACTTTATTTTCGCAGGCGAAACAAAAATCACACACTATTTATTAGTCTTTCTAAACACTAAGTCTTGCTTAAACAAACTTCTAATTGTCCCAACCTAGATAATACAACGACAATTGCGATTTGTTTGGCATGTCTCATGTACAATTTATTAAATGTTGTGTCTATTCTATCATGCTTCGTACATTTACAATATGTTCACCATGTACACTAAAAAATGTAAACATATATTTCTTAAAAACCCCGTTGTCCAACTACAGAAAAACATCATACGAGTTAGACTTTGTTTTGGAACGACGGTTAAAATTTACGTTTTGAGACGATCCAAGATTTCAATGCTACCTGTAAGTGTAAATGTAAAACTAATCAAAGGTGTATGACAGTTTCCGCAAATGTCTTGACCTTTTTAATAGCTCCTACACATACATATTACATTGTATGTCACTTGATTTTTACGTTCGATCCCTTCTTGTTCATCATACCGTTTTTGTGTACGTTTCGCGATGCTTGGTTATAAACTTTGAAAATTCAAATATTAATTTATTTAATTATATTTAAGGAAAAGTACATATACTTTGTTCACTGACCAACATTATCAGATTGAAGCGCACACAGCATAAATTTTACGCTCGGTTTAATCGACGATACATCAACGAGACACAGGGAACATTTTTGGGGTCACTTTTATGTACTAGTAGTAATACATACACAATAATTAGTCGTGTTCTTGGAAGTCAAGTTTATTAGGACAACACTCCCAATTTCTGCATCAAATCGGTTTGGACAAACCCTCCCGCATTTAAATAAGTATTTACTTTGGGATAAAATATATACAAACCGTTATTCTGTTGAGAGACAAATTGCTGAATGCCTAATTTTCGTTGAACCTGTTATTGTTGAACTTAAAGGATATGCTGTGCTGAAGTTATGAGAACAATGTTGAGGGCAGTTGATCACGTCTGAAATGTAAAGCCTTGTTTAATTAGTCTTGTTAATTGCAAAACTATTTCAATTAATACCATAACAATTTTCAAGCAAATATTATTTTGAGATCGCCCCCGTGTTTATAAAAGTATATTTCTAATTTGTAATCGGAGTCGGACTATATTCAATTACTTATACATCACTTTATTTATACAACTTTCAGACTCCGAATACGAAAAAGATTACATTTCATACATTTAAATTATTGGAGTCATATGAAAAAGTTTTTGACGCTGTAAATACTATCATGTTTAATTTCTATTTTGTTTAGGAACTTAATCTTTGTTCTTTGAAAAATTTACATCGTTCATATAAATTTATAACATCAGGTGAGCCTTCTCTCATCGGCATATCAAATTTTTTTTGGTCGTCAACGTTTTGAACACAAACAAAAACGAGCATTAATTTTGTACGAAGTTTCAATTCGTCCCTCTCGAATCAAGAAACAGTTTAATGAACAATACAATGAACACTATGTTAATAAGCAAATGAATATGCTTAAATGCAAATGATTTTCGAGTGAAAGCATGTCTTCAATTTCAAAACCTGCCTGCCTCTATGGAAGTTTGTATACTCGTTCAAAGAATAGTCGTGTTTTTAACGTGCTTTATAGCAGAACACATACAACCCGAAAAATATAGGGTAGAAAACTCAACATAATCATATTTATAACAGAATACGAGTCTTCGTTGAACACGAAATTGGTGAACTTAAATGCTAAACAATGCTATGATATACACGGGTTTTCCATCTCCATATATATATAAATATTCAATAAGCTGTATTTGGCACAATTTTTCATAATAGTGTATGCATTTATGTCTGAAACTTTAAGCCATAAAGTGTGTTGTACTTTTGTTAAATCGCCAAACATAGTTATTTAATTACTACTATAATAATGAATACTAAAATTATATTATGTTTTATCGTATATCGCAGTCGAAGTAGTGTCATATATAAGACAAATGGTAAATGTCAGAACTGGTCATTGTATGTAGTCATAAATGTAAAGGCCAACAAAAACAAACTGAAATAACAAAATTAATTTAAATTTTTGCTAGTATGCAACGACTGTTTGGTACAAAACCCTTTATTAATTGATATTTGCAATTTAGTTACTAGGAGACCAAGTGTACCAATATCATGGGAAGCTAGTAACAAAAGAGTCGTTTAATGGTAGAGCTCAGTGGTGGTATCAATGTTATGGGTATGAAATCAAAATATTACTTTACTCCTGTGTACAGCAATGTATAGTTATATCTACTTTGTATTTTGAACATTTTTGTTCGTCTCTGTACTCTACTGTTTATACCTGTATTTGTTTTATTTTTAGATGTGTACTCGATTATCAATATAGGAAAGACATTTCTTAATTGCTTAACGGTAAAATATTTGCTTACTTCGCTTTTTTTCATTATCTCAGGATTACAGCTCAGCGTTAAAACAAATTGATGTGTGCTAAGTAAAAAATACATTCTTGTATTACTTTTAATTTTAGTTTCTTGTGTACAATTTGGAGTTTAGTATGGCGTTCGTTATCACTGAACTAGTATATATATTTGTTTAGGGGCCAGCTGAAGGACGCCTCCGGGTGCGGGAATTTCTCGCTGCATTGAAGACCTGTTGGTCGGGTTGTTGTCTCTTTGACACATTCCCCATTTCCATTCTCAATTTTATGTCATATTAATTCCAAAATAATACCCCAAAAATGTCTAAAAGAATATATGATACACAAATAAGAAGACATGGTATTGTTGCCTATGTGACAATCATTCACCATAGACCAAATGACGTATATTGTAGCAGTGAGCTACAATAAGTCACCATACGGCTTTAAACAATGAACTTAATCCATACCGCATAGCAGGCTATAAAAGACGGACCCGAAATGACAAATAAAAAATAAGTACACGAGAAAACTAGCAAACTAACTGAATCTTGGTTGTTTTATATTTAGTTACTCTAGACTCTGTCTTATTTTTTTTCTTCTTTTTCTTCTATTAGTAAAAAGGTATTAGAAGAATTTTTTTAGAGACTGATCCTATTAAATTGACTTTCAAACGAAGCATGTGTCACTAATGGTGACTAATTAAGGTTGTCATTTTAGACACATTTACATCTAACAAATCGTGCAGCAAGATTCTCTTCAATAAGGATCATATTGTCAGACGAATGAAGGCACGCAAGCCATATGGACACCTGCAATCCAATTGTTTATATTAAAAGCGTTTTTAAAACGTACGATTCATGTATTAAATTTGAAGAATTGATCTCCCTTATTTCATATAACTAATGAACGATATACATCTATTCTACAATAACAAAAAATGTGTGTAAAATATTGCTTAGCATTTTCACAAAGAAAATATAGTTCAAAATGTTATGTAAATTATTAATACCATGAATCAATTCCCCTTCGAAGATATTGGTACATAAATGAGTTTTTGGAACCAAATATGATGACAGTTTTTATTGCCTTATATAAAACAAACGGATGTTTACAGACCATTACTTAAAAAAATGTTTACAGGTCATTACATAAAAAATGTGTTCAGGTCATTACATAAAAAATATTTACAGGTCATTCCATAAAAAAAAAAACATATACAAATATATACATGTAGGGCTCTCATCTGACAGTTTTTATAATAAAGTGTAAGCAGAATGATTTAGTGCAATGCAAATATAAAAATAAATGGTAAAATATTCTTCAGCTGAAGGACGCCTCCGGGTGCGGGAATTTCTCGCTACATTAAAGACCTGTTGGTGACCTTCTGCTGTTGTTTGTTCTATGGTCGGGTTGTTGTCTCTTTGACACATTCCCCATTTCCATTCTCAATTTTATTACTTGTCGATATTGTTTGAATGTATGTATAACTTTCACATAACTGCCAAAATGTAAAGATTCCTACTTCCGATTTTCGTTCAAAAATCAAATCAAGTATAATGAAACATAAGAAGTGTACAGGGATAAGTAATAATGGAAGAGAATGAGAATGGCATGTTCTTAACCATTGAAGCACAAATTTAAATAGTCAATAGGTTGCCTGTTGCTTGACATAATTGCACTCCTTAATGAATTTACACTCGCATACTATTTCAGGGTGGATACTCCACTTTACAAAACATGTGAAATTTTCATTTAATTTATTGTTATTTGTTTTAAGCCTGAATACGCATGAAATACTTGCAAAAGCAAATTGAACAAACCAGAATGAAACATGGGTGTGCCACGATTAAGGATAGTAATTGACTAAGTGCTAGAAAAAATTGAAAACAACACGTTTAATAATTTCATGCGTCCGAAGCGCTTTTCTGGATTTACCTTCATCAGGAACGCTCAAAGCCAAATATTTGAAATCCGAGGGATGTATAAGTACCGAAACAGTTGAAGAGCTATATGACAAAAATGCATAAAACAAATAGCCAAATTCATCTAAGATCAACTTTGCCTGAGAGAGTTGAAACCTTAGTTTCTTTATAATTTCAACATTTATAAACGGACAATTTTAGAAAGGTTTGCTAGCCTTCCTTCATTCATGTCATTCATATTTCATGGCGTATGTTCTTCTGCGAACTAGGTCATACTTATTTTCACTTTAACACAGTTTTTTGTCATGACGAATGATATATCATAGTTACAACATAATTACCTTATTCATATGTTATAACTGCATCTTATTGAATCAAAATTTATCATTTGATTATGTTAAAGTTATTTAACATCCTACTTGTCAAATAGAAATCCATTGATGTTTACTCACATGTTTGTGTACACACGTTCTATATTTAATGTGTATTGATGGCTGGGTCCTGCTAATGTTTTAATAAAATATAGTCTGTTTCAAATAAGAGCTTTGACTGAACAGCTAATTTTGAAAGTTAAACAGTTTTTTTATTGAGGTATGCTGCACACACTGTAATTTTTTAGCAAGCATTACAACGTATTTATACATTGTATGAGTCAATACATATAATCAATGATATTATCTTAAAATAATGCTGCCTTTATTTATTTAAACATATCTTTTATAAAGTTCCGCTACATATATGCTCATTGTCGAAGGCCGTACGGTGACCTATAGTTGTTAATTTCTGTGTCATTTGGTCTCTTGTGGAGAGTAGTTTTAGTGGCAATCATACAGTCTATTATGCTGTATTTGTGTATTGTCGTAAATTAATTTTAGATGTTCGTTGTTATTCTGTGGTTTTCATGTCGACATGTATTATTATATTATTTATTTATGTATTTCTCTGTCCTGAGTGTTCTTGCATTTATTTGTACTGTATTCCTGTCACGTAATGTTCTCATTTTAACGGTATTTTTAACATTGCCATATAAGTGGGAGGTTTGGCTAGCCATCACTAGTAGCACGATTTCAGTCTGAAACGGTCATTTTGGTCTGATCATATCTTAATCGACTGGATTTACCGCTAGAGAAAAACGTCAAGACTTTTAAGAACTTTAAGACGCCGTTCCGATCGATAGTCTCATTAGGTAAATCAGTCCGTTAAGGCATGTTAAGATAAACAAGACTGAATCTTCTAGCAAGCTGTTAAGATCCGTTACGACGGTGTCAGACCAAAACAGACCAAATCTCAAAATTAACGTTCAAAATTGTCAGACCATGTTTAGATCCGTTAAGTATGCCGGTATGATACTACGAGTTACGCCCCTTCTGCTTGATAATGTATTTTAGATTAATATATATATATATTTATTAGAATTTAAAAAAAAAAAAGTATATCTCTCGAATAAATAAAAAGTAATTAAAGATTAAATCCTCTGTAGATTCTTTATTTCTGTTGTTGTTTTGTTGCGGAACTAATAAATTATTCATCTATATATGTTGCTTATTTTTTTAATAAATGTTAGTTTATTTATTTACATACTTATTAAATGCAAGGTCGTATGTTAATTGTATACTTACAAAAACGATTGCCATACATTTAACCTAAAAATGTTGTGAACCCTGTGTGAAAATGTTTTTCGTATTTGAAAATTAGTAACGGAAAATCTTAAACGTAACCTAAAAAAATAAGAAGATGTGGTATAATTGCCAATGAGACAATCCACATAAATGAAGCGGAGGCAAATTAACACATGCGTATTTTTGTTTTATGTCAGTTGGTTTAATTCGTTTTCTGTTGATATGTCCTAGTTTACTATTACCGTTGGAGCTGTTTTTTTTTTTATTTTCATGCGAGTTACTCTATTAAACTTGGAAAAGCTTTTATTGCCATAGCTTTGTACTGTACAATATAATTTTATATTATTAAACAATAATTTATTTTACATAGTGGTGCGTCTAAACACCACCAAGGTCGCCATAGTACATGAAGCTGATCATGATACTGCATTCAGTCTGTGTCGAGACAGTGTTAAACTATATATAAAGTACCATCGTATAAAGATTTTCATTCAAACAATGTATCCTTATATTTATTTTCTAACCCATATAATATACATATATATAGTACTTAGTGTATGGCGTAAATTTAAAATTTTCCGTTTTAGTTCAAATGATTGAGTTCAATGGCACGTGCTAGTAATCAACCGGGTCAACAGGTGACAAAATCAATGATCCATAACGTAAGAAAGTACATGACTATTTTACAATTACACTCATGATTCTTAATAAAAAGGTGCCGTAGGGCTAAAAGTTAATAAAGAATTAATGAATTTATGTATACGTATTAGTATTTAAGCTGTTGATGTTTGACCGTCAGTTTTAATATATGCTATGTTTTATATTCAATAAAATAATGAATCTGAATCTATTATAGCTTAGTATGTGTAGTTTAAGGTTCTTACAATATTATATATTTCTAAACACTATACCAAAAGATAATGCAAAATATATTTGAGCGCTGCATGGCAAACCATTAAAAAAACATGTACAGTTCGGAAGTTTGTTTAGTATTCAAAAGAAACTTTTCGCTTCTCTACTTATATAGTTTAGAGAGTATTCCTTTAATTTGTGTCAGTTATATAAAGTGGTGTGTATTTGTATTCTATTTATTTGGCAAAATTGTATCACTATACATACATTTTGTATTTCACAACTATATATACTGTAAGTTGTGAATTGTGATTGATTGTTGGTTGCTTAAAGTCCAGTGGCAAATATTTCATGCATGTTCAGGACGAACTGTGGGTTTATGACATGGAACCCACCAGTGTAGGTTTCATGTGGTATAATATTTAAAAGTTACTTAAATTTAATTAACATGAATTTTGAATAAATCGAAACATAACGGGAGCTAGCTATATATAGACGCATGGATCACCAGGACCTATCAGTTCTTTTCTCTGTTTTGTCTTAAAAAAAAATAATGTTTTTTTTTTTATATTTCGATTTTGTACTTTTATATAATTTATGATAACTGTGGTTTATACGTGCTGCCAGACGAAAGATATCTGTGTCCTCTAGATGTCTTTTTTTGTGTGGATTGGTTGCTTTGTCATTGACGTTTAACACAAAACTTTTATTAATTAAGTGTGATCTATGTAGAAATTCAAACGTACTTAAGAATGAAGGATGAAAATCCAGGCTTTAAATAAAAATGGTCATTAAATAGCCACACAATTAAAAGAATAAGAAAAATGTAAGTGTTGGAATAACATATACAATATATATGTGCATTGTCGGAAAATATAATTTTATTTTACGAACTTTGGTAACTGGACAAAAAGAGAGGCGCACCAATCTTTTCTCCTTTTGTGTAGCGAGTACAAATGAACTGATCCTAGTTATTTCGTTTAGCATCTTTTTTTAAATAATAAAATCGCGCGTGCTCTATCTCAAAAAAGATGCTCACAGTGCAGTGTACTACTTTTGAGACAAATTATATCAAATTATCAAAATATCAATCTCTAACTTAATATGTAAACATAATACATGTAACAGCACCCCTTCTAGTCCTTAGTGGCATAGTATACGTCCTTATAGTGCATTAAGGACTCCTTAGCAGTGTTTAGACGTACCGAAATTATAGAGCAGTCTAACAGCTCTAACTCAAAATATGAACCATTCTATGTTGCAGGATGGGGTCTACAATTTAGTTTGAAAGCTTCAATCATACAAGTGTTTTATCCTTTTAATTTGGACTAAATCAATACTTTACCTTAAATTTCATCACCTAAATTTTCAAACATGTACTACTTTTTATTTGATGCTTAAAATATAAAGAAAGAAATTTGGAAGATTATAACCTGTATTAGATACACCAACAACTACCAAAGGCTGATAAGTATGTGTCACACACACACACAAAATATTAACACTGTTGTTTGCTCAATATGGAAGCGAAGTAACAGTATAGATAGATATAAGAAGATGTGGTATGAGTGCCTATGAGACAACTCTCCATCAAAGTCACTATTTGTAAAAGTAAACCATTATTATAGGTAAAAATAAGTCAAAGACTTTATTTAGTTATACAATAATTGGCTGATTGCAGGGCTTAGATTCCTATATTTGTTCCAAGTTTTTAAAATCACAGGTTTTGGATGTCATCGATTTCACCGTTCCCGTTGTAAAACAGTCCCTGACTACCAACGTGGACTTATGTTACGAACTAAAACCACTATCACACGGTTTTTACAAGCGGAGCCCGTGTTATTACTAATTATGTCATACAGGCAGTTTTGTATTATCTGTCTTTTGTTTAGCCGGACTCGTTTACTGACAGAAAGAGCCTAAATATTAATATTACCAAAAAATACTTTATGTACAATTATTTGTCATGTATTTGAAAAATATTTTTCTTCTTTGTCTTACAAATTTATTCATACATACACTATTTTTAAATTTGCAAATCCAATTCACACGGAAGATCACTGTCACAATCCCTGACCACTGATTCATCACCAGATTTAACACAGATCACATTCATACGATTTTCAAAATAGAAATATATTCCAACAATATCATACAACTTAGGCACGCATATGCTTATGAAGCCTTTTCGTTATTTTAGAAATACGTATACAAAATTGTGTGCAATATTAATATTGTATATTTAATACTACTGTTCTGGCATAGATACATCATTCACTTATCCGAGACGTTTTTGAATCTCACTTCCAATTTGCAATTTGGATTAACTCTGTATTGATACGGATGACAACACAAGACTAAAGTAAAGACCATAAATTTCCGTGGGAATTTCAAGTGGAAGCCCAGTGGTGTTATTAAAAACAGAAAACTTTTCGTTTGTTACAAAACAATCTTGATACATTGGTAAGATAATACTGATTGATTGATTGTTGGTGTTTAACGCTACTTTCAGCACTATTGTGCCATATCGTGACGGTCAAAAAAGGGAGTTCCCCCTCCCCCCTTTATTTGTAACCTTACCTATTTTTTGATCATTTGTTTTCGTCCAAAAATGTATGAAATATTTGCTACTGGACATTACGCAAACATCAATCATGAATCACCTAACACATATCTAAGGGAAGCCTTCTATGCATGCATTTACGTGTTTAAAGATTGAATAATCAATTAATTACAAAATATATTGTGTTGCCAAAAAAAAAATAATAACTTTATAACATTTATACATTTAAACCATTCGTTGATTTATCAAAATGTTTGGAAATATATATAAGTAGCAGTAAACATAAAAGAAGAACTTAGAAGAAAAGAAATATATATATATATAAGCGTGCATTGTGGATGCAACATTGCAGATAATACTTTTTAAAAATTCATATTATAAAACTTAGTGCTTTTTTTGTATTTTTATATAGAAAATACTAAAAGACAAAAGAAAACCCTCTTAGATAAACAAAACGT